AAAAAAAGCTACAGCCCTTGTCTGATCTTTCACCTTTTTACAGGGAAAGGAATTGTTTATTGAAGGAAGCTGAGGTGCTTCACAAAGCTCGATTTAACCACATCATCCAGATCTTTGGGGTGTGTAATGAGCCCGAGTTCTTCTGCATTGTGACTGAGTACATGACCAATGGATCACTGGATGAGCTTCTACATGAGGTATAACTGTACAAACAGCATTCCTTTTACATGACATCCTTCCTGTTTTGTCTAGTAGTATTAGTGTAATAGACAATTCACTTTGAGTAATGTACAGTTTCACTTTCTGCTTTGTGGCGTACAGGTTCTTGAATGTTCACTTCTGTATTTTCCTATTGCGTTACAGAAAGATATGTACCCAGTGGTGGCCTGGACATTGAGGCTGCGTATTCTTTATGAGATCGCTTTAGGAGTAAACTTCCTCCACAATATGTCACCACCCCTTCTACACCATGATCTTAAAACTCAGAACATCCTGATGGATGGGGAGTACCATGTTAAGGTTTGTGCAGATTTGCTTGAAGATGTCTCCATACCCCATTTTATTCGACTTTCACATGTCTGTTTGGATGCATTAGTAGATATTTTTTCCTGGAACTTGCAAATGAAAGCAGTTATTTGAACGTCAAGGTGATCAACTATTGATGTTTTTGTTGTCATTTGAGCTGTATTTGCTGAACTCCATCTTTGTCTGAATGTTATTAGTGTCTGTATCTTTAATGTTTCTTTCCCAAGTTTGAATGTCTTACTCCTATAAAAAGCCTCTTTTGTTCCCTTTTAAATATAATAAATGAATAATACTCTTACTTTTGAAATGAGCTATGCCTTAACATGTCATAATTCATATGGATTTAAAAAAATACCATAATCATTCATTATTTATTCTCTGGGAAGTCTGCAAACCTTTATACTACTTTAAAGGGATAGTTTGCCCAAAAATGAAAGTTCTGCCATAATGTAAATTCAAACCTGTGTGGCTTTCATCTGTGGAACACAAAAGGAGATATTTTGAATAATGTACTGGTCACTCTTTTACTTGCAATTACAATAGGGCTCTGAAGCTTCAAAAAGGACACAAAAGCACCATAAAAGTATCATGAAAGTGCTTCATGTGATTTGTGTGCTGTAATTCAAGTCTTCTGAAACCATATAATAGTGTTGCATGAGGAACAGGCTGAAGTTTTTAGTTGTTATTCACTAAAAAGGTCTTGACATCCAGACTTCAAAACCCAAGTCTTCTTTCATTGTAATTGGAAAATGGCTTTTTTTTT